AAAAATAGCTCAATTCACGATATAATTGGGTGAGAATGAATAGTTTAGTAATAGAAAAATCACCACCTAATTTAGTTTCTTTTGTAATTCCTTCCTCAAATTTAATGTGTGAGGAGATATCAACCATTTCACAATATATATATATATATATATATATATTGTGAAATATATATATATATATATTCTAATTGTGTATTATATATCCCATTATTTCAAGGATAAAAGAGAATGTTATATAAGGTTTTTTTTTTTTTTAAGAAAACTTATCAAAACTATTTAAAATTTTTAGAAAGAAAACTTAGCAAACTATGAGAAAGCATATAAATAATTTTTTTAGATAAAGGTAAACCATAAACAATATATAACTAAAAGCTCTAAATAAGGGGTGTTTGGTGGGGGTTAAAATTGGTTAAATTTTGTCTTGTGTTGTTTGTTTCTTATATATAAATGGGATTGATTATTAAGGGAGTACTATGTACTCCAAATTGGTGTTTTGGGTGGGTAAATTTTACCCTCCAAAATAATGTTATTTTTCTTTTATCTTAAAACACACACCAAATTAATTTTAAGTTGCCTCTAACTGATCATTAATATATAATTTAATCATTTTCCTTTCTTTTTACTAACATTTAACTCTTTAATTTATGAAAACATCAAACATTCTTCAAAACCAATTTTTACACCCTTAAAAATTATTTTTGTAATAATTATTCTTAGAGCAATTGACACTTATTTTTTAACCTTGTGCCAAATGCCAGTAAAATAAAAAAATAAAATAAAAGAACATAACTTTTTACTATGTATTTACTATAGCTACTGGCCCATTAATATTATTCATTGAATCTTGGTTTTTGTATAATTTTTGCTTCTTTCTTAGGTAGTTATATGCAAATAAGTCCAAGTGGAGCTAGCCTTGTATGTAGCTCGTAGTAAGCAAGCCTAAACGTGCGTGGCTAGCCTAGCACGAGCCCCGCCTTTTTTTTTTTTTTTTTTGTTCTCTTCCAACAATTTGTTTTTATATTTTTCATGTATTTTGTGAATGAAAACTATCGAAAACATATGTGAAATAATTAGGTTTGAATGACCTATTTTTTTTTATTATACTACAACACATATATATACACAAAGAGTCCTAAATATTAGGAATTGTTTCTTACTTCAAGGAGGAAATCTTGCCTAACCTATTCTAACTAGGAAACAAATATACAGACTAATTACATTAATTTACAGACCTAATTCCTAGCTGATTAATAGCAAAGAATCCCAACACTCCCCTCAAACTCGGGTTGTAAATATTTATCATACCCAACTTGCAACTAAGATCTTCAAAATGCGTTATCGGAAGTGCTTTAGTTAGAATATCTACTGTTTGTAGATTAGAAGGAATGTAAGTAGGCTTGATTTCTCCTCCTTCTATCTTTTCTCCGATAAAATGCCGATCTATTTCCACATGTTTGGTCCGGTCATGATGAACTAGATTTTTAGCAATGTTGATGGCAGTATTGATCGTCACAAAGTAATCTGTAGTGATCCCTTAAAAGGTATCTTCAATTCGACTAATACTCTTTTCACCTAGATTCCTTCACAAATACCATGAGCCATTGCTCGAAATTCCGCTTCGTACTACTCCTAGCTACCACAGCCTTGCTTTTTACTCCTCCATGTTGTTAAATTTCCCCAAACATAGGTACTAATATCCGAAGTGGATCGTCTATCCGTGATCGAGCCTCGCCCGATCCGCATCGAATACAATTCCACTTCCCTACTCGAGTTCTTTTTTAATAATAGTCCCTTGCTCGGAGTCATTTTCAAGTATCTTAAGACTCGTACACCGCTGTCATGTGTTCTTCAAGTAGGGTTGTTCATGAACCGGCTAACAACACTTACTACGAATGCTATGTCTAGCCTAGTATGTGACAGATAGATCAACTTCCCTACGAGTCTTTGATATCTTCCTTTATCTATCGATGCACTATCGTTATCGTACCCAAGTTTGACGAAGTGTAGTCCATAGGTGTCTCCGGAGGTTTACACCCAAGTATACCTGTTTCTTTTAAAAGATCTAGTACATACTTCCTTCGAGAGACTACAATACCTTGCTTAGACCTAGCCACTTCCATTCCCAAGAAGTATGTGAGTTTACCTAGGTCCTTGATCTCAAATTCTCTATTTAGAAATTCTTTGACTCTCGAAATCTCCTCGGCATAATCCCATGTTAGAATAATATCATTAACATAGACAATCAACACGTAAATCAATCCTTCCAAATAATGTTTTATAAACATTGTATGATCGAATTGTCCCCGTATATACCCATTACTCTTCACTACTCCGGTAAATCTCTCAAACCAAGCTCGGGTGATTGTTTAAGACCATAAAGTGACTTCTTTAGTCGATACACTTTGTTAATGTTTGATGAGTTCCGTAGTCCTTCGAAAATGTCCATATAGACCTCTTCTTCTAGATTCCCATTCAAGAAGGCATTCTTGATATCTAGTTGATGCAAGGGCCAATCCAAATTAGTCGCAAGAGAGAGGAGTATTCGAATAGTGATGAGTTTTGCTACCGGAGCAAAGGTCTCCTCATAATCTATGCCATAGGATTGAGTAAATCCTTTAGCTACTAACCGAGCTTTGTATCTTTCAACACTACCATCCGCTTTTGTTTTTACATTGAAAATCCATTTGCACCCGATCACATTCTTTCCATGAGGCAAATCGGTAATCTCCCAAGTACCATTCTTCACCAAAGCATTAACTTCTTCATTGATCGCTTTCTTCCATTCCAGGATAGCCATGGCTTCATGGATTGAGTTTGGAATGGATATAGAATTGATTTTTCTAGTGAATGCTTGGTAAGATGAAGATAGCCCATCATAGTTCACATAGTTCCCAATAGGGTACAATGGCTTACTTCGCATTCTCTCACCCCTTTCCGAGTGCAATGGGTAGATTCTCATTGGAATTCCCAAGATTACTTGAACTAGAACTCGCGAATTTTCCTCCATAATTTGTAAATCGATGTAGGGATATTTACCTCAGGTTCGTATGTTGGCGTAGCCGTAAATCCGATGAAGTCTCGATTCCTTCAGCCTTTCCCCCTTTTTCCGTGGTAGACAATTATATTGGGAGATATAGAATCAATTGGTTGTGGTTCGGGCTTAGGTTGGACACTTAGAGATGGGGTAGAAGCACTTTCGAGTGGATAAGGTGTATTTATAGTTTTCGATATTTCGGGGTGTAATCTATGCTATCTAAGAAGAATCGATATTCTCGTGGTCGACTTTGACTAGAGCTCTCCCCCGAATATCGCTTTGATGTAATAGGGTTTTGATTCAAAAAATGTGGCATCCATGGTGTGATAGAACTTTTGGTTGTCGTGACGTAAGCATTTGTAACCTTTTTGGGTAGGAAAGTACCCTACAAAGATACATTTAGTGGATCGAGAGTCAAGCTTGGTTCGATGTTGTTGATGGATATGAACAAACACAAGACACCTAAATATTTTTAGAGGAAGAGTGGAAATTAGATGACTTTGAGGAAAGTTTTGTAAAAATACTTTATGTGGAGTGGAAAAATCTAGTACTTTCGATGGAAGTTGATTGATTAGGTATGCCGCTGTAAGTACAGACCTCACCCCAAAAACGTTTTGGAACATTGGATGTAAACAACAGAGACTCGGCAATCTCCAAAAGGTGTCTATTCTTTCTCTCGGCTATCCCATTTTGCCGAGGGGTATCTACACATGAACTTTGGTGTATGATTCCCTCAGCTGATAGTTATGAGCCAAGATTAGAATTAAAAAACTCCCTTCCATTATCGGCTCTAAGCATTTGAATGACAGCTTGAAATTGATTTTTAATCATTGTATTGAAATTCTTAAATATTTAAGGTACATCCGATTTATTTTTCATGAGAAAAATCCATATGAGTCGTGTGTGATCATCTACGAAAGAGATGAACCACCGAGCCCCCGTGACATTTGGAACTCGGGATGGGCCCCAAACATCACTATGGATCATAGAAAAAGGTTTTCGATGCTTTGTATGGCTAAATAGGGTATGAATTACAAGTATGTTTTACAAATTGACAAATTTCACACCGAAAAGAACTAACGTTTTTATTTCCGAATAAACTTGGAAAAAGCTTAGACAAATACATAAAGTTTGGGTGTCCTAACCCGTAATGCCACACCATGATTGATCTCTCACTCTTAGTTTTCAACTCACTACCGTACAAGCAAGAATCAGCTTTACTAGAAATAGGATTACTCATTCCTAGGTGAGATTATCTCGATGTAATCCGTTAAACCTCAAGCATGATGTAACCCAAGATGACTTCTGAAGATCGCCAATCATCCTCCCCGAAGTCACATCTTAAAATTCACAAACACGAGGAGAAAAATTAGCTGAGACAGCTTAACATCTTGGGTAATTTTATTTATGGAGAGTAGGTCGTAGTCTAGATTAGGAACATATAGAACAAATTTGAGTGTTATGTCCCTAGATACCACAACCGAACCAAGCCCCTTCCACTTTTTCCAAAGAACCATCTACAATTCTAATCCGTGAGAGCATCATTACAAGTGGAGAATACGTGTGAAAAACTCGCCTATCTCCCGTCATGTGATCGTAAGCACCGTAGTCTACAATCCAAGGCTTATAGCAGCTCTTGTTCGATAGTCAAAACCTTAAGAAAATTACCTTTTCGAGCTATAGAACCCGACCCAATAATTGGTGGATTCCGTTGTGATTGCAAGTAACCTTCTTAGTCCATCAAGTTCCTCTCCACTAAGAGTCGTGTACCGCTCTAAATTCCCGACCATGTTGCCTCGAACTTTATTCTCTATCGTTGTTTTCGCTTTCAATCGACTCGGTTTTCCATGGAGTGTCCAGCAGGTTTCTTTGGTATGACTGTGGCGGCGATAATGTTCACACCATGGCCTTCCCCTCTACGTGGTCAAGCATCGATTTCGGATCGCTAAGTGCCGATGACTCGCCACTAAGCAATCGATTTTTCTATCCCCAAAGCATCGTTGACGTCCGCTTTCTTCCCTTCGTACCTCGCAGAAGGCTTCACGCACGCTCGGCGTTGATTTTGTGCTAAATATCCTTCCTCTTACAAGATCAAGACTAGAATTTAATCCCAAGCAAAATTTGTATACCCTTTTGTTCTCTATGATCTTTTTTGTATTGTTTGAGATCATTAGTGAAGTGTCCCAAGAATATTTCTCAAAAGCATCAAGCTACCGCCAGCCTTTGTCGGAGTTTGTTGTAATACTCGCTTACAGTATAAGTCACCTTGTCGAAGATCATGTAAGACGCTCTCAATTGCCACTAGTTCTGGGGTGTTGTCTTTGTGAGAAAAAGTATCTTTTGCCGCTTCCCGTACTTCGCAGTAGCTTCATATAGGAGAAATTTTCTCCTATACGTGGCTCCATGGAATTCACTAACCAAGACATAACTCGGCTATTATCTCTCTTTCGCATCCCGTACTCGCATCTTTTTCATCTCGGTTTAGTGATATTTTCGATTAGATAATCTTCTTTTTCCTTGCTACTGACATGAAACATAAAGGATTGAGACCATTGGATATAGTTTCGCCATCGAGTTTCAGTAGATGGTTATGGGTGCGTATGAGTAGTTTGTTATGTCTCC